TGAACCCGTGAAGATGTGCAGTGTGAGCACGGCGGGGGACGACGCGATTGCGAACGCCAAGTCCACGAGATCGGTGCTCGACAGACCCTAGAAATGTCGACAACGAGGACGGTCACGATCATATCAGAGACGGTGGCGACACCACTGCTCTGTCGTCGAATGGCCCGATCATGACAACGCGAGGTTGTTGCAATATCAATCACCACACGAGTCGTCACCATGATGGGATCGTCTGCCGCTGTGTCGTGCGTACGCGACGAATACGAGTGGCTACCTTCCAATGGCCCTGTTTGATTCCATCCGTGGCATCTTCACGTTGGTTGGAAGGCTGCTAAAACAAGCGTTGGCTTCCGTCGAGGCCGAGTGGCTCGTCGGTAGCCGTCCCCAAGAGATGCGACGGCAACCAAGCTTTTCGCACATACCCCCTTTCGTTATCGTCTATCCTAGTGCAAACAGCGCTAAAATTGCGCCTCCGTCACACCGTGACCCATCGTGTTGGTCGAGCTCAGCCCACCCGTGACCGTGTTTTGCATGGCATCAATCAGCTCCGTGCCCGACCAGCCCTGGTGCTTGAGCGTCTCGACGCCTTCCGTGCGCTCAGCACGCTGAATGCCCGTCACATACGCCAACATTTTTCGCTCGGCAAAATCGCGGGCAAAGCGGGTGATGCCAAGCGAATCGCTGTGGAAACCAGCCAACGTGATAAACTGCCACGTGTAGCCGAGCGCAGCGAGTTCGTCGATAAACGTGCGGATCTCCGCGTCCGACATGCCGGCAGCGTCCCAGTTGAACGACGGGCTCAAGTTGTACGCAAGCATTTGGTGAGGAAACTGGCGGTGGACGCCCGACGCAAATTGCCGAGCCAGCGGCAGGCCTGGAACAGTCGTCTCCATCCAAATCAAGTCGGCGTACGGCGCATACGCCTTGGCGCGGGCAATGCAAAAGTCCACGCCGCCGCGAACGCGGTAATAGCCTTCGACCGTGCGAGCCTTCTCCCAGCAAAACGACGACACAGCCAGGCCCAACACGTCGATCGCATACTTCTTCATCGCGTTGATGTCGGAAAATGCTTGACGCTTCCACGCCGCAAGCGCCGTGGCGTTGCTGCTCAACTGACTGGCCACAAATTCGGTGAACGTCATGCAGCCGGCATCCTTGTCCCACGTGTCAGCACGGCCGTTGCGTGTGGCGTCAGCAAACGATTCAACGTTCAAGTTGGTCGCGCCAAGGATGAAGGGGTGGTCACGGCCGTCCGAGTTATTGTCTAGAAGCGTCGCGGCTTCGGCATCGGTGCGGGCGATGATGACCAGAGGAACTTGGAGGATGTCTGCTTGAAGGCGCGCGGCGATCAGGCGCGAGATATGCTCTTGCGTTGTCACCAACACCTTGCCTCCCATGTGTCCGCACTTCTTGGTCCCTGGCTTTTGGTCTTCCAAATGGATACCGGCAGCACCCCGTTCAGCAAATAGCTTCACGAGCTTCATGCAAGCGGTGAGACCACCATGGCCAGTGTCCGCATCGGCAATGATGGGACGCATGAAGTCGACGGCTGGGGACGCGGCGCGCTCGGCGGGGCTCATACGACGGCGCGATTCGTATTGCTTACGGTCATGGAAACATTGCGCACGAAAGAGTTGGTCACACTTGTTCGGGACCGTGTCCATGGGGTAGTCAGCAACGTCTGGGCCAGGTTCGTTCGTCGACGACGCTGTCGACGACGATTGCCACCCTGAAATGTACACAGACGTCAAATGCTTGGCCATCTGGACAACTTGAATCGTGTCGAGCGCGCCGAACGTGTGGCTACACTTTCCCTGCGCCTGTAACGAGCGCAGCATCGAGTACAACTTCATCGCTTGTTGCGTCGACGCGTACGACTGAATGACAGTGCCTTGGAGCTTGACCACGTCTTCCGCCGCGTACGGTCGTGTCGTGTGACGGAAGCGTTCTTGGTTCATGAACGCTTGCATTTCCTTGACGCGGGACGCATGCAGACTATCTTCGTCCACGATCGACGCCGAAATCGTGAGCTGCTTGCCGACCTGTTCCAAGCGGCGCGTCGAGCGCTGCTGCGAGTTGGGGTTCTGTTGAGGGCTCATGTTGAAAAATGGCCGTCCACGGGTCGGCGACACTGGCAATCGCGCAAACAACCGGAAGGTCGAAACTTGTCAAATTTAATAATCCTCTCCACCAATCAGACCCCCGCATAACGGCAGGGCGTCCCAATCAACCAATCAAATGCGTTCCTTTGCAGGCACTGGCAATCCAACACCCCGATGTCATCGATTCACGTTGAAGCTGCAAGATTGGCGCCGACCACGCCGCGATTGGATCTTTGGGGTGGCAGAGATGGCCTCGTGGAGCGTTTGATTGGTCGCCAAGTGTTGATTCATCGTGGCGGGCAGCGATAGTGTATCATTGTTTCCGCGTTTGGACTCTCGGTGGTCGTGTGCACGGCCAAACCGGGGGACTCCATCTTTTTCGCGACAAATCCAACACACACCCACGCGTTCGAGTGGGGGATGGCGTGGGGGAAGGTGGCCCCTACAACCGGCAACAGCGTGGGCAAGCCAGCGCATTGGAAACAGGGAAAATTCTGGGTGCGACCGTGCTGTCGAGATTTCGGTCTGTGAAAATTTATACTACTGTTGCGACATCTCGGTTTGTTATCCGGACGTTCCCCACTGGCTGACGATCTTGGGTACACCATTGATGTTTTTCCAGTAAATCCTTCGATCGACATCGGACAGGAAGAATGGCGGGGGCGTTGCACAGCTAAAAAGGGTAGGATGGCACTTGAAGTACGACCTCGAACGAGCAAGTCGAGGTCATGGAACCATAACACTGGCTATCCGTTGACGAAACCGAGGCGACGAAGCGGCAACATCGATTGTGAGAGGTTTGGCAACGTGGTGGTGATTCATTTCAAGAGGTTCGTCGAGATGAAACGGTTGAAACGGTTCCTCGAGGACGTGATGGGATGGGGCGCTGCAATCGTTATCGGCGTCACCGCCGCGGCCGCCGAGGCCGTCGAAGATTTGGCAGTACATGTGCTTGCAAAAGCGAGCTGGGAGTCTGACTCGCAACGATTTAGGCAACCAATAGAGTGTACGGCACGATCTGGCGAAAAGGTACTGTGTCGCAGTCCTGCAGGAGCTGTAATAGGCGCGTGCACAGACTTACGCATCACGGGGGCACAGCTTCTCGGGTCTTGCTTCCAAGGGTATGGGCTCTTTGGATGCAGCAATCGTAACTCCACGTCGGACCGAACGGGCGTGTCCAACCAGTTCCTTCCTTCTGCTTCCTACTGCCTCAACTGTTGCGGCAACCCCACGGCCACAGGGTACCTCGCTTTCACACACGATGGATCGTGCTAATGTCGTGGCTCGCAGGACCGACGAAACGTGGGACTTGGTGTGCCCCATGACCGCACTCCAGCGATCGATTGTCATCAACGACGTCGGCAAGCGGTTTGTATTTGCAAGGCGCCAGACCGTCGCAGACGAGTTCCTGGTACTGTTGTCTGCATCACTATCGGCATGCATCACGTGAAGCCGCAGGTGTCCTGCGAGTGGCCCGTGCGAAATCTGTCCCTTTTCCTTGCTGGCTACGTCGTCGACCTACGTGTGTCCATGCACAGCGACAACCAAGGGTGGTCGTTCTGGGTCGGCGTCGAAAGCTGCACTGTCAGCGCCATCGAGTCGAACGTGACACCCACAACGTTCCACGAGCGCATTCGCATGGTGTCCACAAGGCAGTCGTACTCCCCGTCGTCGTCGTGGTTCATTTTGCTGGCTGGCACGTCGGTAGGCAGTTCTGCTTGTTCTTCTTGTGGAAATCTCACAACTTTCGACCAGGTAGCTCTACTCGTCACGGCCTGGGTAGTCTATCGCGGGTACGTCAAGGGCGAGCACTGCGTCAACTGCGCGTCCAAGTTTGTCTTGGTGAATTCGCTCTGCGCGCTGTGCATAGTATGTGGATGCCGCCTCCACGCTCCGCCGCCCAAGGTCTTTTGTGCAGAGACATTTGAGGCCACCAAAGCCATGAGCTAGATTCACAGGACAGACTCCCCACTTGATTCATTAAATATCTACGACACGACAATGAAAGACCAGGCCGTTCTAGACTAATCCGCCCCTGTCGTGAAATGTTGACGCGCGAGTCTTTTGACTCTTACGTCGTGCATACGTTTCAAAATCAATGTCGTCTTCTTCGCCGAGACTGTCGTCGTCGTCACTGGCGCTGCCCATGACAGGAATCGCGCGGCGACTGCTGGTGGCAGCGGCATGACGGTCCCAGTTGCCTTCGTCCAGCTGTCGGCGTAGTTGTTTTACTTGCGACCTCGACGCCGTGCCTTCACTCATGAGTTGCTCGATTTCATCAATGTCATGTCGAGAGAAGCGCGCAAGCGTCTTGCGCGTCGACTTGGCGTGAACTTCGACTTGGGTGTCGGATTCATCGTCATCCGAGTCGTCCGCTTTTTCGTCCATGGCTTTGTTGTGATGGACGGCCCATTTGTGCTGAATGTAGCCTTCCAGAGCAGGTGGGATGCGCCACTCACCCCCTCGGAACAGCATGGCGTGCATGAGCGATGGATCGAACAGAGCGTCTTCGAGTTCTGTGTAGAGACGTTCGGCGTCAATGGCGAGCCAGTTGTCGGGAGTGATGCGGTAGCATCCGGGTTGGCGTTGAGTGGCCTTGACAAGGAAGCGATCCATGTAACGTAGAACCATCGCAGCTACATCGGGTGTCAAGTGCATGGATTGCAGTTCCGCTTCTGCCGCTGCAACTATATCCGCTTCGTCGCCGGCTGGCAGGCGTTTGACAACTTTGGGCTGGGCCATGGAGAATCGTGCGTCTTTGACAAGGGAGCCACGGTTCTGATGCATCGAGTGGCACGGTTGATAGGACGTCGACATGGACTTGGTTCGAGTAGAACCGTTAGCGAGACTTGCCTGCCCATGGAAATGATGTGTCATCGTCACACAGAAAGGGAAAGTGTCGACACACTTACTCGTGAGGTGGTGGTCTTGGTGCGCGTCGAGACAAAGGACCCTTCAGCGGAAGAAGGAGCTGTCGACGATGACGAAGACCTATAAGTATGGCTCGCTTCCTCAGAGCTGTTGCTCGTGCTACTCGAGCTGCTGAAGGGCTGGTTGTACGAAGAGAACGTTTCAGACGGCTCTGCAATCGAGAAACGCGTCTTGACTTTCCGGATGCCATTTCCGGACGATGCTCCACAGCGATCGTTGGACTTGAGGATCGACTTACTGGTCGACTTGATGATGGACGTCGCGATGTTGTTGATGTCATTAGCGGTCCACGAGGGGGGCGCCACTTGTGGGGCAGCCGTAGCATGCTGCAAGGTGGGCTCCTGGTTGTCCGATCGTTCGTGTTGGTCGTAATTGCTGGACGAGACGTGTCGTTGAGGCGCCGCGCGGCCTTTCATATCTACGGCGAGTGGCATGGGCACCGATTGCGTCTTTTCGAGTGGGATGGGATGGAGCAGGTGTATTTCCTCGACACGGGAAGTCAAAAACGTCTTTAGTGCGTCGAGGAGGATAGCGCTGCCTTGGGTGGACACGGTAGCGTCTCCCATCGCAAGGTTCTTCTGGGTTTTGCGGTATTCCGTCGTGATTGCTAGGACACTTGTGATCCACTTGTTGAGAGCGTCGGCACGAGTTCGCACGACAGACTCGGATCTGGAGCCAAAGAATCGTTTCGGTGGAAACGATAGAGCATCAATCTCCTTGGCGACGGATCGGGACAACTTGTCACTGCTACACCGCCCGAGGATGTCCAGGATGTGGAATCGAAAGCGGCGGAACTCGGAGTATGGGCGTCGCACAGTTCGCTCGTACGAGTCAGCGTGCAAGTCGGTGACGCGGATCACGTATTGTGTCTGTTGGATGGGGCTGCGGTCAACGTGGCTAATGTGCACAGACAGACCTCTCCTTCGTTCGTCCCTGACTTGAGACTCCTGATTGTTGTCCGGTTCGTGGGTGTCCATCATGATCGGGTAGTACTAGGAAAAGCGCGATTGACGAGGATGCAGTTGTTCCTGTGCCGTGGTGCGCGTGCGATTCGTGTGGCGGCTTCTATTCCGATACAAAATTCAAATATTGTGAGTGCAGGTTGAACTTGCAACGCACGCGACGAATGATTGGTTCATTTGGAGAAGAGGTCGGGCGGACCACGGTTCACTGGTTCACTCGGTCTTCGCATACTGAGATCAAGTAAACTGCGCATGGCAAATCGAGCCAGTACGGGGGTTTCGTACCGAAAACATCATTTATCGTATTCATAAATGAATTGTTTAAATGGACGTAACAAGATGGCTTGGTCGAATGTTGTTGATAGGATCTCATTTATCCATGTTGACGCGCTTCCAACGGAGAAAGGCCGTCGTCCTTGGGGGTGGCTTCAATGTTTGATCCAAGTAGGGAAGAGGTGGTGCTGGTCGTACTAACACGCCACCCACAACGTAGTTCATCGGGCGATGCATGGCAACAGATGAATTGCGCAGTTCGGGTGTTGCTCGCACTGGGTACGACAGGATGACACGTACCAGTTAGGACGACAAATGAGCACCACGAACTTGCGTACACCATCAAATGGGTCACGAATTGGCTCATTTGATTTCAGGAACAAATGGCGTTGAAAAGGGGAGTTTCTTTTGTAGGCATGGAGAAAATACACGTGTGGAGACATAGTCAAGGACTTTAGCCACCGCAATGCATCCATCAAGTCAGGCCACTGTGGAAGTTTGGCCTGTTTTATGGTTTCTGTTCCCAACACCTCACGCCCATTCGTGTGACAGGCATTACAATCCACCGACATCCATTTGTTTGTGGATGAGGCCTTGTCCATTCGAAGGTCACGACGACGTTACGAAGGCGCACTACCATCTGGAATATCCAGGCGCAATCTTGTGGCCACTTGCGACGTGATATTTGTCTCTGTAATCGCAGCAAGTACGGGGATGCGCGCAACCTCAAAATCTCAGCTCTGTGTCGCTTCTGAAAGCTAACTGAATCGTTTATGTGAATGGCACCATTGGTTGTGCCACCACTGGCATGGCTCGATGCCCTTTCCCTGATGGATGACCTCGCACTGAACAGACGCGATCCTGTATCCGGATGACAAACTGCAACCGTACACGTGAACGAACCGGTCGTTTTCATGAGCAGTCAGCAAACAGCCAACGCATCGGCTACTCTTCACACGTCTAACATGAAGGGGTCGACTACACATCGGTGGAGGGGGTGATGGTGTCGATTCGTTCACCACGATGCTTCAGGAGTCTCATTCCTCACTTGACCCACGGCGTCGATCAACCGATCTGGATTACAGCGAAACCCATGATGAAACCCCTTTCAAGGGTAGAGAGAGCAGCTACGAACCACTCCTTTGACGACGGAATGGCTGGATGCGCCTTTTTACAACGCCTACCACAGCCCTCCCGTGACATTGTTGGCGAAACCGCTACGTCGTCTTGGACACAGCTCCACCCACCAACCTGTGGTGAATGCCATGCTATCGAGGAGTACATGCGAGGGTCCCATATCGTCCCAACCCATGCAGATTATGACCCGAATAATGAAAAAGCACATCATGGCTGCCTTGACGCGGTGGAAGGTGTCCAGTCTGGGCGAGAACGATGCACGGGCCGAGCACCTCCGTGGCGATATTGACGGTGGCATCGTGGCGTAAATTTCGAACGTCATTTCTCCATGGAACTACTCGGTGTCCCCGGATAACTTGGTATTTACAGTGTACGCGGAGGCCAGGACCATTCTAAAACGTTTCGTTTCATACAAAATCCAAGTATGTGGATGCTGCAAGGGCATTTTGTTAGGTACCGTCGGCGCGAGAACCCCACGGATCGTACAGCATACAAACACCAAGTTTAATCCTCGCGATCCACCGTGTCACAATTCCTGGGGTCACAAATCCGCGACCACGTCGACGTTGAAGTTGCCCAAACTCGACTTGGATTTCACTGCCGAGTGTCTAGGGTTGAGTATGTTATACAAAAATCAAGATGTTTGGAGGCACCGCCCGCCGAAAGTATAAGATCCATCCCACAATACCTTTTGCCCCACTTCGACCAGATCCGACCATGTTGCCGCCGCAAGTCAAGCTCGAAGCATTCCAGTTCTACGGCTTTGAATGCCACGGCCTCTTTGCGCAAGAGGACCTCCCGGCCGACACCACTGTGTGGATCTGGGACACTGTCACGGAGCCGCTTGTCACGTTTACGCGAAAGGAAGTGATGGACCATCCTGAGCGCCAAAAGCTCATCAATTTTTCCTACATGGTGAACGACGACTGCTTTGCGTCAACGACCACTCCTGAGGACGACCCGTGCTGGTACTTTAACCATTCGTGCGACCCCAACTGCTGGTTTGAAGGCGACGGTAAAATTGTCACGCGCCGTCCCGTCAAAAAGGGAGAACAGCTCTGTTACGATTACGCATGTACGGAAACAGAGGTACGCATGAAGGCTTATATGCACGATGCATGGATTATCATTCGATGGTGCTTTAGTCTTCGCTCCATGTCAACATGAACTGCCGCTGTGGAGCCGAAAAGTGCCGCGGTCAACTGAAGTTCAGCGAGTGGAGGAGTCGTGGGTTCATCAAGAAGAACTTAGGGCATGTGACCGAGTACATCATGCGGAAACATGCTGAAAATGGGTACGACAAGCAACTCGATGGGTCGCAATGATCGTGGGAGTCGAACAAGATTAGTGATGTGTGTGCTTGAGTAGATGGTATGACACTCGAATGGAGCTTCGATACAAATCAAAATCGTCCATGGGTCTCTTCTGCCGCGAGGAATCGGATTGCAAAATTCTAAAAGGCGACATCGTGCTCATGTTCTCGGGCAAAATCGTCCACAAGGACACGCTCCTCGAGAGCGGCGCCATGACCCCTCGCGACTTTGAGATGTCGCTCCAAGTACAGCGCGACTTGTGGCAAATCCCGGCGTGGAAGGTACGGTCTGCGTATGAGGTGGTCGAGGTCTCATTGACGCCTTAGGAAACTGGGGATAAATGCGAAACCAGCGACTACATCAACCATTCGTGCGACCCGTCGTGTGGAATGCTTGACTCCGTGACCGTTGTCGCCATCCGCGATCTGTACCCCGGCGAGGAAATCACGATAGACTATTGCATGGTGAACGACGGGACCAACAGCGACCCCAGCGACAACTTCACGTGCATGTGTGGCAGCGTCAACTGCCGCACGACCATCACGACGTTGGATTGGCAGATCCCCGAGCTCCAGACTCGCTTGGGGCAATACTTTGCTCCGTTTGTCAAGCGTGTGATGGAAGATGCGCCATTTGCTGTTGCGCCATGACCCCTTAGTTCGTTGTCAGAGTTGTCCAAGGAGGCTGCATCCGACGAGAGTCATTCTTCACTGGGATTCGTGATGTCGGACGTCAGCAGCAGTTTTAGCATAACGTTAGTAGGGTACGATCCAATGGAGCTATTGGTCACGTGTTGTTCATTTCTGCTCAATCAAGTCGTTATCCTGCCCTCGTGCGCGCTTGCATGCATCTCGTATTCCTGCGGGCATCGTGGCGTGCAACGCTGTCGAGTGTCTCGTGCGACCAAACTTATAAACTTACTTGGCCGTCAAGGTGAAGCTTCTCGTTGGTAGTCAGGTCGGTGGACAAGCACAATGCCCTTCTCAGCTCACTGCACGCCGCGCCTTCACCGCTTCCATACAGTAAGCCGCTGTGTCCAGCCCTCGGACCCCGCATGATCCTGTGGTGATACTTCGATTTTCTCGCCAAAGATATGTTTTGCAGCGATGTGATTGGCTAGCTCACCCCCTCGTGATGGGTTTTACTTGTGGGATTTATGTGTATTTTAGAAAACTCACCTCGAAATTCACGAACCAATCACGGCGCGGAAGGCATTCCACTCGACTTGGTGTGGTCGAATGAAGAAGGCACGGTGATGATGGCAACGGCGGGGTCGATGTGCTCAATTGCTTGCAATGTGTAGACATTGGTAGAGGTCCAGTTGTACCGTGCAGTGTGGACAGCATGCTGGCCCATCGTGAGATGGCTTGTTCGAGTGAAAGACGCTGGACGAAAGGTGCTTGCTATCGAGTCGAACGAACGAACAGGGGCCGCGGCTGTGCCAGGTAGGACAAACGTTGCTGCCAAGAACTGCACATGACAACATTGTATAGACCGCTTTCGAACTAGCTCCCGCAGGGTTGTCTGGATTCATGGAGCCTCTGTCGGCGAATGCTTGAGCGCCTTGCCATTAATCAAGGAGATCACCCAAGACAACAAGGAAACGTCGACCACAGAGCCTTGTCAAGTGCTTTTCACCACCACGACACCAAGTGCCCGCGCCTTGCTTACTCAGAGGCTGCATTCGGTAAGAATGAAGTATGGAATTGCACACTCAACCCATTTTTGCAGAACCCGAACGCCCATTGCATCTTCGCTCCACTAGACCATGCCCCATGCGTTCGCCGCTTCCTCGACACTTGGCGACCAGTGTACATGAACCTGTGCACGTTGCAAATCTGTGTTTATGAACGTCTAGCGCGGCCATTTGGATCGAATCCGAGCTGTGGCCAAACTTGATTGTCGAAACAGGATCGCGACAGGTTTGCGTTTCGTGGCTGAGGTGTTGACATCGACGCTTAGATTCCCATGGCCATTCTAAACGGCCGCATGTCCTTTCGTTCATTCCGTCGGTGGGACTCGTGGATCGGTCGTCGGCTAGTTCGTTCCATGCTCGACCACTTTCAACTCGTGCTTTGCCAAAGTTCACAAGTACAACGGACCCGTCGTGAATGACGCCAGCGACTGAATTTTCCTTCATGGCCAGGACGAGTCCAGATATCTGCACTTGGGCCATGCCGGTGCCAAATACGTTGGCGATTTGAAGTTTCGTACTGTCTGCTGCATGACGCTTCGTCGCTGTGACACCAAAATATTGCGTAGTTGCTGAAAAGCATGCCATCGACGCAACATCGTTGATCGAGTTGAAAGAATCAGTGGAATCGCGTGCTGTGTGGGTTGCAGGAAGCACCCACGAAGGCGAAGAAGAGGTTGTCCTTCAAACGCACGAGGCCCTCAAGGCCCAACACCGTCGCCTGTTGCTCGTCCTTATTCCCAGACATCCCCATCGAGTCGAATCGATTCTCGCCTTGATCTCCACCCAGGTCTATTTGAATCCGCCAATTTTTTGTTTCAACGCTTCAGAACGTTCATGTAGCACCCACAGCTCAAAGTCACTTGGCGCTCACAGCACCGCGTGCCTGCTGCAGATTCGGATGTGTTTATCGTGGATTCGATGGTACAACGATCTACTGCAGGCTGCGGCCGCTCTGATCTTGTCCGCTTTCAAGGGAGAGACCCAGCTGTGTTATGAAGTGGCTCGTGTGGCGTTTATTGGAGGTAAGTTGCTTTCTGCCGCTTGTTTGCCCTTCTCTTCACGCGTGTGGCATGATCGTTGCACGGGTAGGCTCGTTGGTCCCAGTCGGTGGCCACAACATCCTCGAACCCCTGCGGTCGGGGTGCCCCGTCCTACATGGCCCTCACATGTTCAACTTCACTTCAGTTGTTCAGTCCTTGGCCTCGCCGCAGGTTGTCCTTGTGACGGCGTCAACGCTTGCAACAACTCTGGATGCCTTTTTAAGCGCTCCTCAACGCACCCTCGTCGCGGTTGCACCACCGACGCTAGAACGAATTCAACGAGATATATGGACCCGCGTGCATCGCTTCTTGGACACTGCGCAAGCGTATAAGAAAGAAGTTTAGATTTCAGCGGTTTATATACTGCAAGTGCACTTAATATGGGCGGTATCGGTCTGACTTAGGGCCATTGCCACCGCCTCCTTGACCTTGCTGACCTTGACGCGGGTAGCTGCCATAGCCACCATACGACTGGTCGTCGTACGGGCCGTGGCCATCAGGGGGAGCCGATCCTTCGGCCGAAGGGGGAGCACCAGACGGATCATAGCCAGGGTATCCTCCGTAAGCAGGGTACCCGCCGTACCCGCCATAGCCGCCAGGAGCAGGAGCACCGTAGCCACCTGCGTAGCCGCCATAGCCACCGCCATAGCCGCCACCGTAGCCGCCACCGTAACCACCGCCGTAGCCGCCGCCGTAGCCGCCACCATAACCGCCACCGTAGCCGCCAGGGTGACCCCCGCCACGACCACCGCGACCACCGTAACCACCGCCGTAGCCGCCGCCGCCGTAGCCACCTCCGCCATAGCCACCACCGCCATAGCCACCACCTCGACCTCCACGGCCACCATAGCCGCCGCCGTAGGAGCCACCACGACCGCCGTAGCCACCGACCGCATCGTAGCCTCCACGGCCCCCACTGCGCACTTCTCCCTTGGGCTCCGCGCGCTTGATTTCCACGAGTTTGCCGTGCAACTCGTGGTTTTTACTCATAACTTCCGCGACCGCCCCTTCTTCTTCAAAGCTGACAAAGCCAAACCCTCGTGACCGCTGCGTGTCGCGATCCATCATGACAATCGCATCCGTGATTTTGCCATAGTCTTCGAAGTACGCGCGGAAATCGTCATTCGTGACCGACGGCGGCAGTCCTCCGACAAATATCTTCTTCGACTCGCCGGGGCGACCGCCCCCGCTTCGATCACTACAATGGACGCACATGAGCTCTCCCGCAGCTCATCGACGCACGATGCGATCGCGGCAAGAGAAAGAAGGGCCGAGTAGTCGGGGGCACATTGTCGTGTTTTTCAAGGTTCAACCAGCAGCGCTGCCTGCATGCTCGTGTTTCTGTCCTTCGACTACTGCCTTCTTTCTCTAACCACGACAGCACATACGATACTACACAGAAGCTCATGACGAACCTATAGCCTCCACTGCCTCCTCCAGAATGAGGGCCTGACCGACCCCCACCAATGCTATCTCGAGGCACTGCGCGTTTCACTTCTACGTTGCGGCCGTCCAGCGTGTGTGACTCGCTTAGCACTCGGTCGACGACTACACAACTACCGCGTGAGGGACGGATTCGTCGACGCGACGAGATAGGATGACAACGAAACAACCTGAAGCATCTTCAAACGTCACAAACCCAAACCCACGAGGTTGACCCGAATACTTGTCTTTCATCAATGCCGCGTCGGTTAACGCGCCGTACTGCCCAAAGTGGGAGCGGAGGTTGTCTTCGGTCGTCTCCCAGCTCACCCCACCAACAAAGATCTTGCCAGCTCCTGTAGACGGTGCCCCCGATGTATATCCACCACCATTGTTGCTACTGCCTTCGTGAGATGGATGCTGTCCGTACGAAGTGGATGGTGCAGACGAATAGGACGATTGGTCAGGGTAGCCATAGCCCCCACTGTGGTTCGAATGGGAGGATTGTTCGGATTGCTTGTGCGGATCATGGTGGTGCCCATCGTGCCCGGCACTGCCCAAATTGTCTACATCTTGGTGGTGGTCGTCTTGCTCGTACACAACTCCGTCCATCGTGTCCTTGATCGGGCGGCGGAAACTGTGCGAATGGAATGACCAATGAGTGGTGGGGGGGAGAATATTTATCGAGTTTTCAATGTTCGGAAAAATATATTTGAGTTGCGTAGATTTCATAGAAAAGGTACGATATTATTATCAAAATTGTTGGAATATTATTCATCGACCTGGCGTTCGGAGCAAACATACAGCAAAAGATTATATAATGTAACGTATCAACATTCCTCTAGTACATGCAGGATGAACAGAAATTAAAGGCGCACCCCAAAATATTCACCTTCTCATGTATCTGTAGCCGATACGTAGTCCATGCAGACATGTTCTCAGTCGGCAGGGTACAAAAGGATTTGGGATGAAGCGATGTCAGGAAAGAGAAAAGCGCAATCATCACTATTTGAGCTGAAGAGAAATCATAGACTCACTTCATAATTGGAGCAAAAGAGTCCATTTTTATCCTATAGAAGTGAGTGGTGGGGGGGAGAATATTTATCGAGTTTTCAATGGACTGAAGGACGTAGAGAAGGACATCGAACGACACCCTGGCCTTGTCAGTACCAAAATTGCCTTCAAAGACACGTCTCGGGGCAAATGTATCACCGACGAAGAGAAAGGACAAATATTAGCCTTTCGCAAGCTTCAAAAGAGCTGTGGGTTGATTGGAAAAACAATCAAGCCAAGCTACAAGCTTGTGCGAACGTTTCTTCAGAAATGCGACCAACCAAGCCGCAAGAAAAGCCTAAGAAGACATTATATCCTCACCAACCGCGAGATCCGACGCATTTTCAGGCTTGTTACACGCAAGCAAATGTCGTCAAGGCAAATATCTACAGCACTAGGCAACAAAATATTTCAAAATTGCTGTCCTTAATTTGTTGCGTGCGTCAAAATTCGCAAAGTACATGAAACGCCGGTCTGGACCGCGCCTAACTCCCAAGCACAAAACAGACCGAGTCAACTTTACCAGTCGACACTTCCAAAAGACCGCGGAATTGAAAGCGACTATGTTTACCTACGAAAAGAAGTTCAACCTAGACGGTCCAGACGGTTGTCAGTACTATTGGCATGACCTACGGCATGACGAACGAAGCTTCTCCAAGCGTGCGGGTAGTGGCGTTTCTGTTATGGTTAGGGGAGGGGTAAGCTTCTACAACAATACGGAGCTAGCCATCCTCAACGGTCGACAAGACGCTGTGAAGTATCATAAAACGCTGAAAACATACCTGCTGCCTGCCATGCGTGAATTTGTGGTCCTTTCCGCGCCGGCCACCCGTACGTTCCAACAAGACAATGCCAGTTTCCACCGATCTCGCTCGGCGTTGACCTACCTTGAAGGCATGATATGGCCAACTATATACAGTAGTGGCCTGCGAAAAGTCGCGATATGAGTGCAATCGAGAATGTTTGGGGCGTTCTAGCCCAAAATGTCTACGCCAACGATCGTCAGCTCGAAACAAGGGCTGAATTGAAGGTACAAATTCTCATGTCTGGGCTGAGATCGATCAATCATACTTGGCCAAGTTAGCTGAGGGTATGCCTACGAGAATTGCCCAAACAATCCTTTGCCGGGGCAATTGCATTATATCGAAGTGCGTCTATAATTACTTTCAGACCAAATTTTGACGATGACACTTTTCTCTCATTCCTGACATCTCTTCATACCAAATCCTTTTGTACCCTGCCGACTGAGAACATGACTGCATGGACTACGTATCGACTTTAACCGCTATCCTTACAGATACATGCGAAGGTGAGAATTTTGGGGTGCGTCTATAATTTCTTTTCAGATTGGATGAACAGCTCAGAGCGTCTATGCAAGGTTAGTATGCCGAGGGGGGCGGAGAGAGCTATCGTCGGCCGCGCAAATATGTCCTGGGCCAAGCGGTTGCCTGTGGCAATGGCAACGTCGGCTCAACACCTCTGCGGTTCACAAAGCAGCGATAGAGCGGCGCTGTCGACAACAGCCGACGGAAAACGAGTATCGACGAATCGCAACACCGTCGACTTTCACGTCACCGCCGCTAGCGTCATGGGGAAACTTGACTTCTGTGTGCTTGTTGGGTCATGTACTGTGCGTATGCTCGTCATTTCACCGTGTGAACATGCTTAAAGGATGGGAGTCCAACACCACGTCAGGAGTGAGCCAAGTGCTTTACAAATGCTCCTCGGGAATGGCATGCATGCGAAAATGTCCAACCCAGATTTTACGAAATATAGATGGAGCTGATTGACTATGTGCATTCACGCGCATCTTCCAAAGTCGTCTCCTTGGGCATCGTCTTCGTCGCATTCTTCATTCACCAGGATCTCTTTCGTCGGTATCACCCAGCTTGCGG